TTAAGAGCTCTCCAGCTGTCACCTGGAGACTGGCAACAGCTTGTCTGGAGTGTGGGCAGTATGGTATTGTATCTGTCTGAGGTCCCCCTCTTCCTCCTCCTCCTCAGACCCCACCCTCAGCAGGCTTCAACCCTATGTCCTTTCCAGGCAACCATCAGCCAACCTTTATCTGCCTGTCTGTCTTTAGTTTTACACACACACACACACCCCACAGCCTCTGCCTAGGGAAAGGGCAGTCTTTCCCTGCAGTGGGAACCAAGGCAGCTGACATCATTCTCCTCTCCCCCGTATGATCCGCACAACTACCCTATGAGGTATGTTATGGTTGAAAGTGTGTGAATGGTCCATAGTCCCCCAGGCAGCTTTTAAAACATGAACCTGGGACCTGCACACCATCTGTGGCAGTAATGGGGTGACTGCTGGCACCTTTTCCTATCATTTTTTGCCTTGAGGTATTCTGCTTGTGGTGTGATCTGTCTTCTTTGTGGTGTGGCGTGATTGTGTTATTGGGTTTGTTTCTTTTAAAAGGGAAGTGATGTGTTGTGAGTGAGGACATATGTTACCTCAGAATACAGTAGTTCCCATATGCAACTGAAAATTCCAACTGCCTTGCGGGGGGGGGGAGTTTGAGGTGTGGAATGGAGTGAAGTCCAATCAGCTTCCATATGCAAAAGACCTTGAAACGCTGGGCGGGACTGCACAAAGCAGCCAGTCAACCCAGCCAGTGTCTTCTGAGTGGCAGTTCTTCCGGCCAAACACTAAAGGCGGGCATTTTAGAACGTTTGTCCCCACTACTGCTTTATTATAAGGGAGAGATATTATTATTTCATTCGGTTTATATACCGCTCTGACCCGAAGGTCTCAGAGCGGTTTGCAGGCAGGTTGCAAGTGCAAGTTTCAAGTCCCTTACTAAGGCCACATGGTATAGGGGTGGGGGCTGCCTACGGGCACCCCAGTGGGGGTAGCTATCCTTTGGCTCCGGCTTCGGTTTCCCCAGCGGTCCATTTTTGGGGTTGGCATTTCTCTGGTGTCAGGGCAGGTCTTCTAGCTTGGAGGTTTCTGGCGCGCGGTCCGTATCAGTTCCGGCTCGGCTATATCCACATCCGGCTCCGCCGAGCCTGCGCCTTTACGTCCCGCGCTCCTCCACGACTCTCCTTTCGCCTCCACCGGTCGATGTTTCTCTGGCCACCAGGGATCGCCACACCGTGCCATTGTTGCTGTCGCCGTCGCTGATGTTCCCACCACAACCTCGGACGGAGGAGGGTGCCCCCTACCCTTCTAAGGGTAGGTACCCATTTATCTATTTGCTTTCCTTTTACTTTTGCTTTCGAACCGCTGGGTGGGCGGAAGCTAGGACTAGGGCCGAGAGCTCACCCCGGCCGCGGTGGGTATCGAACAGCCATAGCGGCTGCTCGCTTGATGTTACTGCAGGCCTGTGTGGGCTGTCACTGGCCAGCAGCTTTGACATCATGAGCTCCTCCCTCCCTCCAAACCCAGTCCAGTTTTATAGCTTTCTTTTTAAAAGCATGTCTTTTTTTCCTTATAGAAGACAAATAGTGCAGCACAACTGGGGAGAGGGGTGATCCAGCATCTGAAGTCCTATGAATGCTGGGGACACAAGTGGTATGAGCTGGGCAGAAGAACCCAGTCACAGTTTCAACCCACCCTTTAGCAAAAAATATACCGCTTAATCCTAGACATGTTTAGTGGGACATCCACAAGCATGTATGCATGGGATCAGGATGCTAATTAGGCAGGTAATAACTCCATCTTCCCTAGAGGCTTCAACTATTTCAATGAAGTCTTTTGATTTCTTGTCAATGATATCTAAAATACAAAGCAGACAAAGCTTACCTGCTGCAAGAGCTGAAAATGCTGTCTGGTATCATTCAGTTCAGTCTTCAGTATATTCAGTTCCTCCTTTTTTTCTGAAGAAAACACATTTCACAGCTTGTTGCAAGAAGAGACAATCAAGAAGAGTGTACCGAAAAGAATATGAATTTAGTTTAAAAAGAATACCCATCATAGATTAGGTATTACATTTGCCATATGATGTGGGTCGAAGCAGACAGACAAAGAAACAAAAAGATTGTGTACATATTTGGAAAGCTACTTTGTACCATGAAAATGCTTCTGCAGGTTTGCAGTCTCTTCATTGAGAGATTTTTTCTGTTTTTGTAGCTGGTTAACTTCTAGCTGCAGTTTTCGGATATCTGAGTCCATATTCTCTATGCTGGTGAGGACTGCTTTACTGTTGTCTTCAGTAGCAGCTAAAGTTCTGTGAAATACAACACATATACATTTGTTCTGGATTCTCCTTCATGTTTGCTAAGATCCAGGGGTCTTTTTGTAGAAAAAGAGCTGTCGGAGCTCATTAGCATAACTCATTAGCATATGCCACACCCCCTGACATCACCAGAAGACAAAAAGGTGTGAGCCGGAGGCTAAAAAACTGTGAGCTCGCTCACACTCATTCAGCTTAGAGGGAACACTGGACTGGAGTCACTCTGTATATAGTAGGTGGTCCCCCCCGTCCCCTTTCTCCCCATGATAAGATGTCCCAGTTCCGACCATCTGGGCCTCTCCCTCACGCCTCCGCTCGAGCAACAACCAACAGCTACCCCGCTTACCGCGGCCGACAGCTCCAGGGAGAGGTCTCAAAACTCCAAGACGGGAGGAGAGACGATGGGCCAGGAGACGGGAAAGAGCGGGGACGGTGGGGGCATGGTCGCACCGCAGCCGCTTCCCCACAGAGCATGCCCCTGTATACGGGGGGAAAGGCAAGTCCCCAAGAGACGTCGCCGCCGCTGCCGGTCCCCACCGGGCCTACGCAACAAAGCCGCAGTAGTTGTTCCGGGCGACGGCCTCCACATGGGCCCTCTGTCACGGACGGGGTCGAAACGCCCCCACCCCTGGCAGGGCGTTGGAGCCTTTATAAGGAGGCGGGACCACTTGGGATGGACATCCCACATAGCCAATAAGAAGGAAGGAAGGAGGAAAGAGGGTATAAAAGGGGAATGAGAAGGGAGGCTGAGGAGGAAGGAACTGTGGAGTGGATACCAGAGATGGGCTGGCCAGGACGTCGAAGGGAGAGTCGACGAGGCAGCCGTCTCCCATGACTCTAGCAGAGGCGCAGGTTTTCTCTTGGTGACGTAACCGGAGAACCGGCCCAATTTCTGAGGCCTCCCGTTCCCCTTTTAAGAGGGGAAAGACCTTCTTAAGGACGATGACCGGGGGGGGGGACCCCTTCGGCCAGGCTGGGGCGCCACATAAGAGAAGTTTAGCTTATGCACGTCAGGCTAAGTTCTTGAACTCCGCCACGTTAGACGACGGGGGGCAGACCCAAGAATAAATATATTCAATATTATGTTTTTAAAGCCACGCCTAGGAAGCTGGTGGTGGACGGGAAACCACAGAGGAAAGGGGCTTTGGGGGGGGGGGACGGGGGGACCGGAGGCCTCGAAGGCAGAAGGGAAAAAAGCGTAGAGAGGATGCATACAGAGACTGGCCCTGAGCTGCTGCGGGGCTCCCCTTTGGGCGAGCGGTGCTCGGGGAGAGCCCGCAGCCAGGTTCCCCTCGTTGCAAGTTCTCCTTTGCGAACTCCCGCCTGCAAAAAAAAAAAGCCTTCGGAGAACCCTCGTCTGCACCCACCCTGTGCCAGATGGTAGCTGGCGGGGCAAACCCCGCTGGGAGAGGAGACGCGTTGGGATGGGCGAGGCGCGTGGCTGGTAGGAGAGAAGGCATCTTCCCCCGGGTCCTCCATTGTCGGGCATGACGACGCTTCTGCTCCGGCGGTCTCCACGTTCACGGCCCTCCTCCTCCTCCTCCCAGTCCTGCAGGCCGGGCGCAGAGCTCCACCCCAGCCTCTTGCTCTTGCTGGCGGCTGGCTGGCTGCTCTTGGGCAAGCGGAGGGAACAAGCCCTCCGCAGATGGCCGTGAAGCAGAGGGCGGCCTGAAGAAGGGGGCGGGGCTTCATCATGTGACCGCCCCGCCCCCCAGAGCGTCTCTCCCGGAGCGCCGTACCAGGGCGCTCCAGGAGGATGAGAGCCCTGCTAAGATCAATTTATTTTTTCAAAAACATTAGAGCTTAAAGCACAGTGATCGTTCCAGTTGTTGGGCGAGACTTTATAATCTAATGAGGGGCAAATCTCTCTTGGAGCGGTAACGATAAACTGGAAAAAGTAGGTGGGGAGAGCACCATTTAAAAAAAAAAGGGGCTGTGGCTCAGTGGCAAAGCATCTGCTTTTCATGCAGAAGATCCCAGGTTCAATCCCCAGCATCTTCAGGTTGCAGGTGATGTGAAAGACACTAAACAGCTGGGGCGTTTACTATGTTGGAGTATCCCAGTCAGGCTTTTCCTGTTAGATGTGTTGGGCCAACAAATGTTCAAACCACTCTCTGGAAGTACACCTGGGCTGACAACATGGTATCCTAGTGCATGAAAGCAGGGGACAGCCAACTCTAGCATTCTGTCTGCTGCTTAGGGCCACAACTGCCCATGGCTACCAATGGAAAACTTGCCTCTGCCCAGGACAATGTGAGCTCAGCCCTGCTTGGGTGCCTTGGAGGTGAACCATCAGAGCTAGTGAAGTGTAACTAATTGGATTGTTCACTTCTCTACTATACGCGCAAGACATAATTGGCTGAAATTTAGATGAAGTATCTTGCCACTTTTCTTCGTTTAGGGCACTGCATACAAAACCCCCAAAGAGATGTAATAGTAAATCCCTCCCCCATTCCCCCGGAGAAATGAAAAAGATTGCTACAGATTGTGCTAACTGCTGCACAATATGCTCTTGTGTTTCTTCTTGCAATGGCCTTCAAGCACCAGAAGACTCCGGGATGATACACAGCTATTTTACTGGTAATTGTGCGCTCTTATTTTAAATGGACAATAGTGGCTCCGTAAAACCCTGAAGAGCTTTCTTCTTCTTTTAACAGGCAGCTCCAAAACAAAAAACAGGGCTACCCAGAAGAGGGCCTCTCCACAGCATTGCGGTGGATTCTTGTGCAGGAAGAGAAGCCTCTCTCCACAGCTGGCTTTCCTCACCTTTTCGTTTGTGACAACTTCTCCTGCAAACGCTGACAGTTGTCTTCTAGCTGTTGTTTCTCGCTGCTCAGTGCCTTGATGCTGTTCTGCAGAGTATGGCACTGACAGTTCAGCCGTTCAGCTTCTTTCTGGGCCCCCTCGAGCCGCTGCCTCTGGTGTTCCGCTTCCCCTCGCTGCTGCTGGGAGGCCCGCTGCAGAGTCTCCAGCTCCAGTTTCTCCTGGGCAGGAAACAAATATGCAGTGAGGCCACAGGTTTGATTCCTGTAATGTCTCCATTTGACAGTTTTGTCTCCTGCCTAGTTATGACAGTTCACTTTTGTCTCCTTTATTGGATCGTGTATACCTTTGACAATGGCTGTAAGGCTGCACCGTATGTCCAACAGGTGGCATGGAGAAGGTTTGATGAATGGCCCTTCCTGAGGCCTTTCAGTACAGTTCAGGCTTCTTGAATGTAAAAAGGATTCTTAAAATAATTAGAGCACCATGCATTTTCCTCCAAGGGTAACTGCACTTTCTAAGCAATCATTGTAACCTAGAAAGATAGCAACTTCTTTCCAGACAGCACATTTATGGCCATTTTAAAGCCATTTCATACACTGCACAAGAGGCAACGCTGAGTTTCAGGCAATCATGGCTTTCCAACAACTGGAAGTGTATTGTTCTTAGGTGTATCCCAGCCACATTTTTAGGTATACACTTAAAATATCTTCTCAAGGGAATATGTAAGGAATGTCGATGTACAGAGAGCTGGTGACTACAGAAACTGGTGTTATTAGACGGTACATCTTTCTGAAATTACATGGATATGGAAGTTGCTGTTGCAACTGATGTCACCATGGCAAGATGAAGACATGCCCAGTCTCGCATGACAATACACCCCAAGTTATATCTGAATTCTAAAGTGGCCCTGGCTGTACTTCAGTGCTTACCTCTAGGACTACAACTTGCATCTTTTCCAGTTCATTAACTTTTTGTTCATGCTGGAGCTTTACACCCTCCAGTTCACCATTTTCAAGCTGCAACATTTCCAGAACGTGCTTCAGTTCTAATAATTGATAAGCACAAGCAAAGACAGTTAAGTTCCAAGGAGGCTGATGAAGCACATATGTGAAAGTAAAAAGAAGATCTCAGCTAGCAAGGCTGGGAAAGAACCCCTGCTGAAGAACGTGGAAAGGCTATTACTGATAACATTAGACAATGGTCTAACGCCATATAAGGTAGCTTTATTTGCCCCCTTTGCATTCTCAACAAAGACAACTTTTAGGATATTACTTTGTATTTAGATTTACAGCCTTAACTGCAATACTTGTGTATGGCTAATCTGGATTCACTGGAACCTGGTGGTGAGAAAGATCCTGCTTAGGTCCCTCAGCACTAGTCAGGGGTGAGGTTGGAGGGTGGGATTTGTTCTCTTGCCTGTGCACAACTAGCTGAAGAATGCTGGAAAAGAAAATTACTATGGATTATTTCATTCCCCTGCTCAATCCAATGGGATCTCTGGGTTGGATTCTACTAGTTTTTCCCGAGGTGCAAGAGGGAAAATGAGTAACCTCACTTGGTTCCTATCCTCAGGACAGCCCCCCCCCCCAGCTTTTTGTCACAATCCCTAGAACAGCCTTTACAGGAGTCAAAAGGGAACCATCCTCACATATACACCAGTGGAAAAGCTGGTAGATCTGACCCTCCCTGGTTAACAATACCTGAATTACTAGCGCATGAGTCACTTGGGATGTTATCACAACCTTCTCTGAGACTCCATACGTTCTCATGCAAAACTGGTCTCAGGAATCTGGCTATGGCCGTTGGGAATTAAAGACTTGGGGTAAGGAGAGACAGTATTTATTATTAAGCTTTAGATGCTACTATTTAGTGAATTGTAGCTTTTAGATATTATAAACTACTGTTTAGGTTTTTTTGGGAACTGCTTTGCTAGTATTACTGCTGACAGGTAGTACATAAATATTGCAGCTAAATAAACGAAGCAGTCATAACAACAGATGGTTAAATAATGATAACAATATTGTTGCACACCAGATCCATCTCCCCACCATCTATATCAACACAACGATTAGGACTCAATTTACCCATTTTTACTCAAAAGGAAGATGAGCCTGAATGTTAGATGACTTCCTGAAAAATGTTCTACACATTTAAAAAAATTATTCTTACTTGGGTACAAATGTAAGACAACCCCCTCTTTTTTTTCACATCATGAAACCTAGTCTTGCGTTTGAGTAAATACTCTGTGTACGACAATGGAAAGATTCTCCCCCCTACCCCACACACACAATAATCAAAGCACATTTAAACAACATTTATTTTTAGTTCCAGGTTACAATCTCTCTCTTCGCAAGTACCTAACACAGATCGATATTATTAAAAAAAGATTATTGTAACGTCTCACTGATAGACAAAGCAGGCTCTACGATAAGTTCATTAGTCTCTAAAGTGCCACAGGACTCTGTGATTTCGGCTGCCCCTTCCCCCAACTTGTTATTTAGTGAATTAACTTAGTAATTACTGCAGTTCTTTATAATTTGCCACCTATTTTTGAGGCCAATGAGGGCATATTAAGAACATAAGAGAGGCCAATGTTGGATCAGGCCAATGGCCCTTCCAGTCCAACACTCAATCACACAGTGGCCAAAAATACCAGGTGCCATCAGGAGGTCCACCAGTGGGGCTAGGACACTAGGAGCCCTTCCACAGTTGCCTCCCCCCCCCCAGCACCAAGAATACAGTGCATCACCTGCCCCAGCCTGTGTGTTCCTATCTATACCTTGTGGCTAATAGCCACCGATGGACTTCTGTTCCATATGCTTGTCTAATTCCCTCTTGAAGCTGTCCATGCTTGTAGCCACCACCACCTCCTGTGGCAGTGAATTCCATGTGTTAATCACTCTTTGGGTGAAGAAGTACTTCCTTTTATCTGTTCTAACCCAACTGCTCAGCCATTTCATTGAGTGCCCACGAGTTCTTGTATTGTGAGAAAGGGAGAAAAGTACTTCTTTCTTTACCTGCTCTATCCCATGCGTAACCTTATAAACCTCAATCATGTCACCCCTCAGTTGTCGTTTCTCCATGGTAAAGAGCCCCAAGCGTTTTAACCTTTCTTCATAGGGAAAGTGTTCCAACCCTTTTATCATTCTAGTTGCCCTTTTCTGCACTTTTCCCAATGCTATAATATCCTTTCTGAGGTGTGGTGACCAGAACTGTACACAGTACTCCAAATGTGGTTGCACCATTGATTTATACAGGGGCATTATGATACTGGCTGATTTGTTCTCTCAGTTCCCTTCCTAATAATCCCCAGCATAGTGTTGGCCTTTTTTTTATTGCAGTTGCACACTGTCTAGACATTTTCATTGAGTTATCCAGTATGACTCCAAGTTCTCTCAATTGGTCAGCCTCTGCCAGTTCGGACCCCATCAACGTTTATTTATTTATATTGTAAAGCTCGAACAAAAACAACTGGGTTTTAAAAAAAAGCCAAACCTGTCTTATGCTTTGTTATGAGTCCCAGGATATCCTGCAGCCTCTCCTCCTCTTTTCGGATATTCTGTGTGATTAGGGACAGTTGGGCTCTCTTCTCACTGACCTGAGCACTGAGTTCTCCTTTCTGAACGCTCAGCTCTTCGAAGAGAGATTTCACTTCCTGGACAAAAGAACCAGCATTGTCATGCGTAAAGCAGTATTCCTGTTTGTACACAAATAATTGATTATACCTTTTTTTTTCTAGAAGAGATTGGATTTATACCCCGCCCTTCACTACCCAAAGGAGTCTCAGAGTGGCTTACAAACTCCTTTCCCTCCCCCTCCCCACAACAGACACCCTGGGAGGGTAGGTGGGGCTGAGAGAGCTCTGACACAAACTGCTCTTTTTTCAAGAACAGCTCTTATCAGAGCTACGGCTTGCCCAAGGTCATCCAGCCAGGTGCAAGTGGAGGAGTGGGGAATCAAACCCGGTTCTCCCAGATTAGAGTCCGTGCACTTAACCACTACACCAATTTTTGCTTCACTCCCCGTGCCCCCAATTCCCATTTAAGTTGGGATAGTGTCAATTAGAACTTTATGGACAAATGACTGGCATTAAGGCAATGGGGTGGTCTGAATCATAGCCCCTGAATTGTTTCCAATGCAATCCAAATGATAAGTGAGCACACCAAAACATTAGGCATGCACATACACAGACGAACGCCCCCAAATGTTTGGAAAACCTTTATTTGCTGCCGCTTTTCAGCCACATCAGCCTCGCCGTCCCTGAGAGCTTCTGTGAGGTTAGCATTTTTCTGGGCGATGCTACCTTGGAGGAGGTGCAGCTCTTCCTTTTTTTGACAGAGCAGTCTATCCAAAATCCCCAGCTCTTGCTGTTTAGCTGCAGTCTACGAAAATTGGAGGGAAGAAAAGAGAGAGAGAGAAAGCCAGCTACATCCGAAGTGCTGATGCACTCTGGGAAAAATTCCTTGCTACTTGGCCCCTGGGATGATTGGAAGGCTACACCAGTAAGTGAGCTAAGAGTCTGAGCTGGCAATTGCCAGCTCCAAGTCAGCATCAACCCCAACATCAGGACTCGCATTTCCGGGAAGGCTGAACTGAGTCAGAGATGCCTCACAACGAATTGTGCTTACCTGCTCCTTCAACCTCTCTAGCTCACTTTTTTTGCTCTGAAGAATATTTTCTGCTTCTTTAAGTATCTGAAGATGGTGGTCTTCATTACCTTCTGCAACTTGTATATCTGTCTGCAGCTTCTGAAGACTAGAAAAGGATTAAAATAATCTGAGGAAGTGCATGTAACACTGTAATCTTGTGCAGCTCAAGAAAATGGCTGACTGAGCCAGCAACATACTCGTAGCTACCTTGCCAGTACAACAGATCGGAGACTGAACCGGCAGTTGCCAGTGTGAAGGCGGCTTTGGCCATGAACTCTGTAGGGGGCTGTGGCCAATTTGTTACTGCTTCTGCCTCAGATCTTTCTCTGAGAAATGAGGGTAACACTATGCCTCATCTTGGGGGGCTATTGTAGGTATTCTTAATGAAGAAGAAGAGATTGGATTTATACCCCGCCCTTCATTACCCAAAGGTGTCTCAGAGCGGCTTACAAACTCCTTTCCCTTCCCCTCCCCAGAACAGACACCCTGGGAGGTAGGTGGGGCTGAGAGAGCTCTGGCAGAAACTGCTGTTTTTCAAGAACAGCTCTTATCAGAACTATGGCTTGCCCAAGGTCATCCAGCAGGTGCAAATGTCTCCTGGTACATTATGCAAATTAGCCCTGATATCAATTTAAAAGGTAGGTGAAAAACAAAGACTTCCTCAGCTGCCATAATTAACTTGCCTTTCAGTCAGTATTTCAATCTTCTGGCTCAGTGGGGAATCAAACCCGGTTCTTCCAGATTAGAGTCCGCGCACTTAACCACTACACCAAACTGGCTCTTTTATTAATGTATTTGAAACAACATTCTAAAAGTGAATCCAAGTAGTATCCTCATCTATTGGGTCGGAAGGGACCTCGCATACTCTTGTGGCTGTCCCCCATCCTGTGTACTGCCTGATTTACCAGTCGTGGATGCCATGCGCATATATGCAAGGTGCTGTCATGAGGCAACTTAATCAGGCCCCAGTGTGCTGGTGGCCACAGAGATCGGCACAGAAAGAGTGGAAGAGAAGAGGCCAGACAAAATAAGAATTGACGGGGCACTGGCTGAAGATAAAAGATTATAGTTCTTTACTCTGCAACAAGAAAAGCTTCCTTATAGCACCAAGTATGAACAGGGCGAAGTCAGAGAGAAGTGTTCTTGATGGCTGCCCTGGAAATGCAGAAATATTTCAGCAGTGGCGACGGGGGTACTTATCTGTGAGTCCATAGACATGTCTCCTGGTACATTATGCAAATTAGCCCTGATATCAATTTAAAAGGTAGGTGAAAAACAAAGACTTCCTCAGCTGCCATAATTAACTTGCCTTTCAGTCAGTATTTCAATCTTCTGGCTCAGTGACTGGAATTCAGAATCTTTTGCTGACACAACTTTGTTGATTTCCTTCAGTATACCTTCTTGTTCCATTTTGTGCTGTTCCAAGTCCTTTGCATCTGCTTGAAGCAACCTGGAATGAATTCATGAAGGCCTTTTTAGTGCTGCTTGTTTGAAGGGAGTGCCACACTAAAGTTCTGACTGTCCTTTTTTATATATAAATCTAAACCAACTGGTTGGCTTCACCAGCTGTGCCCCCTTTTCTCTTTCTGGACACAGGTATGGTTTAGGAGAGGTGAGATAGAGGAAGCAGTCAGGACACACACACAGGCAAGGCAGGATCTTCTCCAGTAGCTCTCCTTCATTTCCTTCATTTCTTACAATTCATATCCCACTTTATCCTGGGAGGTCCAATGGTGGCTAAAGGCATATCACTACTGTGGCCCAAACAGGCACTCGGAGTAAACCACTGCACATATAATTAAAAAACACAAGCAACACTACAAGAAAGCAATAAATACTGAATAACAAAGTCACCCAAGCAGCACCACCAATACTAAAACAATTACAGCAAAAACAAGCATGCCACTCTTAACAAACTCACAATAAAAGTGGATCACGTAAAGTAACCTGTATTTGGGGCAAAAAGGGAACAGAGGAAGGGAGAAAACCCTGAATTTTATAATGTTGATCTCAAACATTATAACAAAAGGAAAAAAACCAACATATACACTTAATTCCTCCAAACACAGGCTCGGGGGGGGGGGGGTGAAGCAGGACAGCACTGGCAAGCAACCATGTAAGGGGGGGGACTACTACAGTGAGGAGAATCAGGTAAGATTGGCCCCCCTCCTTCTTGACCCAGCAGAAAGCTGGTAGGATCCAAACAAAAGTGGCTCCTCCACTATATACATCCAAGCAATGTGTTTTAGCACAGCTGTAGCATACCTTAATTGCTGATCAGCTTTTACAAGCTTCACTGCCATCTCTTGAGCCCGTCTCTCAAGCTCCTCGGCTTCCTTTTCAGTCTGAGTCAAATGTTGCTTGGCGCTGTTGTATTTCTGAATTGTGTCTTTGGTCTAGAAAGTTAAAAATAAATCTCTTCCAGCGTTTTGAAATGATAGGAATTCTTATCCCAAATGGTATTAGAACAGGTGGCTCTTGTCTCTTTATATGTAGTTACCTGGCACTTGCTTTGTCTCAAACAGATTGTTAGTGTGGAGGAGAAAAAGGAAGTTTTGGATGAAACACCAGAACACAGGAGAACAATTCATTAGAACAAATCCATTTGTGTCACATACTTTTTAACAATTGTGCACTGTCAATTCACCAGTCTTTGCAATCATTCCATATCTGGAGATGCATGGAAATATGTTATGTGAACAATTCATTCCTGTGTTTTTCTTCTCCTGATCATCTGTTGAACTGCAGCCTTCACATACAGTAGTCCAGTCACAGATCTCCACATCTCTACAGTCATGAACATGACTTGCAAACCTTAGGCTGTCCTCATAAAAATCATGTAGTCCAGCCCGATTTTACTTTAGTAACTAAAAATGCCACCAGAGGAACCCTCTCCCAAAGATCTCACAAAAGGCACTGACATGATGTTAGGATCAGCCACCCAGTGTGGGATTGTGTCAACCAGTGAATCTACATATTGGGGGGGGGGGAGGGTTGGTGAAGTGATGTGTGGATGCTGGAAGTCTTGCTGAAGGGATAGCAAAAGCACAGAGCTGGTAGGTAGAAGATATGGGACTGAGGAACTTACTGAAAACTAAAAACAAAACCATTCATTGTTAGGGTTGCCAAATCCAATAGGAAACAGGGTTCCTCTACCTTAAATGGATGCAAACTAGGAAGGATTTTTGGTAGGCACCACTTTTCTGGTAACAAGCTTACAGTGGAAAAAGAAGTTGCCCCATCAGAATTCTCTTTTATACACTGCTACTAAAACCACAGGAGTTCTGCCCCACAGTGAATTTATTTACATTACTTATAGTCTGCCTTCCTCACGGAGGACTAAAGGCGAATTGCACAGTGTAAGCGTAAGGTGCTTACAGGCTGGAGATTCTACTGGGCCCTCTACGTCACTCTGAACTTCTAAGATTTTATTAAAAGCAAACAACATTACTTTTCCTCGAGTGTTTTCAAGTTCATTTTCTGCTTCAGCAAGAAGTCTGTCTGCCTCCCTAAGTTCAGCCCGCCTCTTTAGAAGAGTTTTTTCTATGCATTCGATTTCATCTGCAATGTCTTCCTGACGTTGGAGAGATTGCTCCAGCTCCAGCTCTGTAATCAGGCTGTTCACATGCCCATCAGTGAAGTCCCTGAAAACACAGAATGTTGAGAAGTCAACACAGAATGTATACAGGTGTCAAGGAGTTTTAACTGAGCCCTGATCTACAGGGGAGGGCAGTTTAAAAACTTAATTTAATAAATAAACTAACTAATAGGCAAGGCAAAAAAAGTTGTCTTTGCACAACAGAGGGAGCGGGCTATAGCCAGAGGGTGGCCTTGAAACAGTTACTCCAGAATTTTTTTGAATGGGAAAATGGAAGACAGTTGGGCGGGGAGTAGAAGAACCGCTAAAGCTTTCCTAGATCCTTTCTGCTGAAAGCAGTGCAGTTGGTGTGCCATGCCATTGTGAGCTGAGCACAGAGAGAACCATGTGTGAAGCTGCATGACAATAATGGAGAACTGTATTTTTATTTATGTATTTATTATTTTAAAACATTTAAATAGTAATAATATTTTTAATACTATTTATTATATTTATTTTTTAAAAAACATGCATAGCAAAACTCTCAGCCCAATGGCTTCTGAAGTGCCCTTCTACAAATAACTAGATCATTCAACAGTAACTAAGACTGTCACGAGCAACAACAAAAACCACACCTTACGTACTAAAAGCAAAGAAGTATTTTTTAAAAAGAGGGCCATGTAGGACAGATCTCAGGGGGCCCGGGTGAACAGAAATGTTTTCACCTAGCTCCTAACCCTGGAGAGGCTAGGTTTTAGGAATTCCAGAGGCCTGGTGCCAATGCAGAAAAGGCACTGTCACCAGGAACTGATCACCTTATCTCTAAAATTGGGATTCTATGAAAAATTGCCTCTGTAGACAATATTGATTACTGAGAAAGCGCATATGGGAGCTTTAAATACCCTGGTCCTGGACAGTTTAGGATAGGGATGGGCACGAACCTCGTCACAAAACTAATTTCCTAACAAACATCACCAGTTTGTGGTTCACAAACTGGAGGTTCATGCCCATCCTTATCCACGACCCTCCCACCACTCTCCACATAGTTTCGGAGGTTCGTGGTGGGAAGCGGGGGGAGGGGGGGCTAGAGGGATTGCTGAAATGGCTTGCAACCATTTCAGCCTAACAACGGGGCTGGTGTGTCCGGCTGTTAGACTGAAATAGATACAAGCCATTTCAGAGATCCCTTTCACTCCCCCCCCCGACTTCCAAGCATTTCCTTTCAATGGCTTTTGCAAAATCTTCCCCCCCTTCTAGTCTGCTGGCCTCAGAGAGCCGCCCCAAACAGAAAAGAGAGAGGGAAGATCTCAGATCTTCCCCCGAATCTCACAAACCAATTCAGTAAATCGGGAGGTTCGTGTTTGTGCCCATTCCCAGTTTAGATCTTTAAAAGCCAATGACCTATCATATGAATTATAATGGAAACTGAACAGGCTACCAGCACAGCTCTTTGAACATTTACAAGATGCATTCCTGACAGACATCAATCTTGCCACTGTGAACCATCTGTGTTAAAATATTGGCCTCTGATGATTCTAGGATGGTATCAACAGTGTTTGTCTGAATACTTGGGGCAAAAAGAAAAACAAACTTAAGAGGCTTATTGAGATAAGACAAAACATCCTTTTCCGAACTTGATAAAATACTTCTAGGTTCTGATGATAAGCTCATCCGTAAATTGTACTCACTCTTATTAGAATACTAGATGCAAGATGAGACTGTAAAGGTTCCAATGATTGCATGGGCAAGAAATTTAGAGCATGTTATCGAACTAAATAAATGGGAAAAGGTGTGGCAAAGTGTAAAATGTTTGAAGGCAATACCTTTGAAGGAAAATGTGTTTAAGATGTTTCACCGCTGGTATTTAACACCTGATAGATTGGCCCGCTTTTATTCTAGTTCTAGTGTTAATATTGGAAATGTAAATCTCGTGGGTTCTTTTTATCATGTCTGGTGGTCGTGTAATGTAGTCAAAAGGTATTGGAAGGAGATTCATATGATATTAACACAAATAACAAAAATTCAGATTCCTTTAGACCCTGAAATATTTTTATTAAATATATTACCGGATAACATACATAATGTGATAAATATCTGATTGTTCATTTGTTAACTGCAGCAAGGATGGTATTGGCAAAGTTCTGGAAGAGGGAAGAACTACCTCGAAAGCAAGACTTTATTAATAAAATTACAGAAGTGGCTGAAATGGACAATTTAACCCAAAAACTTTGCAGGAAAGATAATGATGTTTTTCAAAAAAAACTTGGTTAAAATTGTATAATTGGTTAGATAAGAAAGGACAAGAGGAATAGGCGAACATAGTTAACCTGAAAGATGTGGTACTAAATTTATGTTACAAGGGTTAAGATCCATTATATGTTCTTTGTTGTGTTTGTCAGATGTTGTTTATTCAAATAATTAAAAAAACATCCTTACTTGTATTTACTTGGTTTCTGGGCTGTTCTGCACAGCTCTGCTACTTCATGCTTCAGCTCTTCTCTTTCACTCAAGAGGTTCTCAATGTCCTGGTACAATTCTTCCCTGTCTTTATTAAGGTCATCCTCTTGCTCAGACTTTAACTGATCTAGTACATCTTTTAGTCTTGAGATTTCATCCTCCTGCACCAGATAAACAGTACAATGAGAAAGACTCTTACAAGAAAATTTCACATTTTACAGGATAGACAAATTTCCAACAGGGTCACCCCCTGTTGCAGGAAGTACAAAAACATTTGAAAGGAATACACATCCAAAAACATATAGTGGCACACAGCAGACACACACTGGGGCCACACTACCATCTGTGTGTTTACAGAAATTTGCCTCATCTGCAGATGCTGCAACATACACTATGTGGACATACAATGGGGACATCACAACTTCCAAAAATTTACAGAGTGCTTTTATATATCTATGAAGACAATTTCCATGTTTCCCAACAACACTCTGCGCTCTAAACAGATATGTTAAGTCACTGCCTAGGCTTTATTTTGATTCAGTTCCTTGGGTTTTGCTTACAGAATTCTGGCAAACATACACTGATAAAAATATTTTCACATTTAAATTTTCCAGCCAAGAACATACACTGCAGACTTATATAAATCAAATTAAAATGAGAGCATGTGATGCCTTAAAGACTTATTGCGGCACAAACTTTCCTGGGATAGAGGTACAAAAGTTTCTGCCACAGTAAATCTGTTAGTCTGAAGTGCCACAAAACTCTGTTGGTTCTGTTCTACCAGACTAATATGTATATTCGGAATGTACTAAATTATGACCTTATTCTCTTCGAATCTGTACAAAACACACTGATTACATTTTTGTTTGAAAATGAAAAATTGTTCACAGGGAAAAAGAGTTTATTTACAATGCAAGGACCAGTTCATTTTATATATAAACTATAGATTCTTGGATTTAGACAAAATCCAAATCACTGTATTTGTATTGATAAAAGCTGCTATTCTAGTATTCACAACAGTTTGTATAAATGATCTCAGCAATCCTTATGACAACTTTTTCAGTGGTGGCCCCATCCTGGTGGAATGAGCTTCCAGAGGAGATCAGGGCCCTGCGGGACCTATTGCAGTTCCACAGGGCCTGTAAAACTGAGCTCTTTCGCCAGGCTTTTGGTGGCCACCACCACCAATGAGGAACATCGTTTGGCGCAAGGGAGAGGGCCTGGACTCTGGAAACCACCATCAACAGCCTAAGAGAACAGCAAACCAGTAAGGACACCTAAATGAGTACCACTTGTTTTTAATGTAATTATTTGCCTTGATGCAAGCCGCCCTGAGCTGGCCCTGGCCGGGACAAAATCTGAATAATAAATAAATATGTCTGACCAACATTTTCACTCCCTGTTTACAAATGGGAAAGCTGAGGCTGGAAAAAAAAACAAGAGCAGTTTGCCTAATGTCATCTTGTCAGCTTTCATCAGATTTGAAATAAGGGACTCCCCAACTCTACTACACTACAGTGAGGAAGATGCATCTTAATTTCAAGGAGTGAACTCGGCAACTTACCAAATTATGGTGCTCAGGTATGTTGCAGTGAAGGACTCCAACAGGGACAAGAGGCACTGAGCAGTTAGCTGGAAGAACTAGCTGGGCTCCTGCTGGAGGGGATCCATATATAACTGCAGAGGGAGCAAGCTGTTCACCACTGGCTCCTACAGGAGGACGGCCATACACCGCCATTCCCGGAGGTGCAGGAGCCCCATCTGGCAACAGGGTATATATAGCAGAACCAGGAAGCGGTACAAAGGAAGAGGAGCCACAAATGGTCACTCCACCATCTCCATGGTTCCCTGTGACATGGGACACAGTGAATATAATCCGTTAGAACACCTTCTCAAACAAAGAAAATCATATACTGTGAAAATTTAAGTGTTCATTTCTAAAGTCATTCTTTTAGATGGTACATTTAAAAAAATCTGATGTTATTGATTTTTAAATTTTAAGTTTGTCTGATTTTGTCGTGAGGATATGCAGTTCTTTTGTGACCCATTTCAAAACTTTCCTTTAGGCTAAATTGACCATAAATCTTAGAAATAAATACAATGAAATAATTTGAAGAAAATTCTCTCTAACAACACATAATCTGTGAAACTGCCTCACAAGTAGTGTAATCAAAGGCTGTCACCAGGCGAGCTGTGGGTGCGAGCAGCTGCAGAAAGGGGATGAATACGGCAGATACAGTTTGCCCCTACCTTCAAAGTAAGGGTCAGCAGATGGGTCAGGCATCCTAGAATGTCAAACCTAATGACATAAAATGGACCTTACTTCCAAGCATGTATGCACAGGTGCAGGTAGTTGCATATTTCTCTGCCGGCCTAGCAGCCCACAGGGCTCTTGCTCTTGTAAGAGTTACATGGCAAGAAGAGTTTCTAACTGGGTTGCTTCTCCCTTTGCTATGGCAGAGAAACTACCTTTCCCATGCCGGTCTTAAAAACTGAACAAACCGGATGAGGATCAAGCTGACCTACCTCCACGAGAGGGAGTTTCTGACAGGCCGCTTCTAACTGGTGTATATGCCCAGCAGGCTCTGGCAGTGGGGGCGACAATAGCTTCCCTCCTGTTTTGCTTACCCTCTCCATGCCCTTTTCTGACTGGAGTGGACATGGGACACTGTAGACCAACTCCAGAATCTTTGGTACTCTGAGAGGCAGGAGTAGATGCCTTAAAAAAAAATTGAAACGCACAATTTGTCAAAGCTTCCATGCGGCAGGTCCCAAGTCAATAGCGTCCATGATGTAATTTAATACAAGTCCCTCTTGTTCTTTGGCCCCAAGACAAATTGTTGTTAACTGTTATCAAGGACCAAAAGCATTCCAGATGCAGGAAAATTTAAACCATTCTGATCTATTTGGCCAGCAGAAGAAACAGAATAGTAATGCCACAGTCCTCTTCATATGTGGAAGCCAATATAGGGGACAGTGTGGTTTGTGGGTCTCAGAACACTGCCCTTTAGCCTGACTCTGCCCAAGATAACTTGATCTTCAAGCTAAACACAATGTTGATATAATACCTGGCACAACACTGTGCTACCCAAAAGCATATATGCAGCTTCATAAACATATACAGAGTTCTCAGTCAACAAGGCTTGGAGCAAGCATCCATGAATGAACAAAGAAAAGCAAGGATTATAGTAAGGATCAGGCCTATTAAACGAAGTTAACTAGTGTGATTTGAGATTTGGCAGAGGCCCATCTTCCCTCAGCAGAAATCTGGTAGGTATCCAACCCTACGTAGTACATAGCCATGCATTTGGACACCACAATAGCTGAACGGTAAATGCAGCAACATCATCGTTATGTAAAAGTGCTGCCACCATATGCAAGAGGGACAAATGTATAAATTAAGGTTCTTGACTAAGCTCTGTAACGAAAATGCCCTTCTTTTGTACACTGCTTTTCCTTGCAACTCCACACTCAGTATTTGGGTTCTGGATGACTGTTTGCCTTCTTCCCATGTATGGAACCCAGGGTGGGGGAAAAGCAACTCAGGAATGGAATTGGAGGGGGGGAAATAGTAGATGAGGAACAGTTAGCCACCCCACCTCCTGCAGAATGAGCAGATGCCCCTGAATCTGCTTTTCAAGATATCATTGAAGTGTTTCTAAAGGAAAGATCTCCATATCTAGTTCCTTCCCATCAGAACTTACTTGTGATGATGTCGGCATGTACAAATGTCCCCTTTGTTTCCGTGGATCTAGTACACTAGCAAGCGTGTCATTCTGGTCAGAGATGGTTTGCTTGAGCGCTTCAATTTCACCCAGTATGTTGCCAATTTCTTCCTTGTTGCCTGTAGAAGAAATGTTTGTATTTAGGTTTATTACAGGGGTGGCCAAACTTGCTTAACGTAAGAGCCACATAGAATAAACATCAGATGTTTGAGAGCCACAAGACATGAACAAATATTGCACATGTTTTATTGAAAAATATGAAAAGCTGCTTGTTATAAACATTAAATAAGACTGCCAAAAATAAAAACAAATGGGGTTAAAAACAGATATTGATAACAATATTTATTTATCCAATTATATTTGTAGGCCAGGGGGTGGGGGCTTTGAGAATGCATTTAAAGTTAAAGTTGCTTTCTTTCTGTGCTCCCTCTCCCACCTCAAGCCTACCCAGGGAGGGGAACACTGGCTGGAGAAGGAAGACCGATGGGGAGGCATGCCTTTCCTTTGCTTCTCCAGCTGCCTTGCCGGGAGCCACAAAATATGTGTGAAAGAGCCGCATGCAGCTCCCGGGCCGCAGTTTGGCCACCCCTGGTTTATTACCTGCACTTTGGTATAGCTTGCCTTGGATCTAAGGCTGGCTTGAGCCATCTGAAAGGAGGGCCCACTCCTCCTGCAGCCCCTGACTGACCTTCCATATCATTCCTGAGAGTCCTCCAATCTTCAAAAGCAAATTTTCAGGAGGTACAAAGGATGCAACTGGAGGGGAGGGGAGGGGAAGGGCAGGCAAGCCATCCTGCAAGCAGCACTTGGTTTGCAATTCTCTGGATCCCACCCACTAGAAGAGCTTAGGAAGCATTAAAAGAACTCCCTGATGAGGTCTGGTGCAACTGCTAGATTCTTGCCTGAACAAGAAGGCTCTGAATTATTCTGAAAGACTGATAGAGCTGAGACACAAACCTGCTTACTCTAGTGGTATGATTTAGTTCTGTTCACAAACAGGAACACTGAAGCCCTGTCTCCTCCTGACCTCTTGAAACGGGGCTTCAGAATTTCCCAAAGTTTTGCCCATGCACATCCTCATAACCAGAAGGGCCAGAGGCAGCCAGGAAGGTATGCAAGGCCAGGACTACTTTGGACCACAAGTTTTAATAATCCACTATAACAGAAAGTAGACCAATAAATAGTTTGCCACTGATCCTATCTCAACAGGTGAGTCTCATTTGCTGAGCAGGTAGTTAAGTGTGCAAATATACCCCAAAGTATTTTTTATTTTATTTTTTTTACATTAGACTTGATATCCCGCTCTTGTCCCATGGCCAGGGTCTCAGAGCGGCTTACAGGGTTTCTGGTGCTAATCACCTGTGTTCCTAGCTAGGGCCACAATGTATGAAGGGGGGGGTGGGACAACCTACCGGCACCCCCTCTGTGGTGGCTATTGCTGTTTCTCCGTTGGCTCGGCATGGTCGGGTCTCCTGGTCCCGCGGGTTGTTCTTTCTCTGGCGTTCTCTGGCGTCTCCGGCATTCAGTGGTGGCGATCTCCTCCTTAGGCGCGCAGCTCCGCCTACTTTCCGGCCCAGCCACGTCCTTTCCGGCTCCGCTGAGCCGGAACTCGGCATCTGCGCACGCCCCTTTCTTCTCTCTTCACGGCAGCCCTCGGTGTACTCCTTCTCCGCCGCCAGGGATCGCTCAAACGCGCACCTTGCCTTGCTCGCCACCGCCTTGCTTGCCGCACCACCAATGCCGTCCACGCCAGGATCGCCACCGCCGCCGCCATCGTTGCCGCCACTGCCGCCGTCTCCGCTATCTCCGCCATCTTCAGCCAACCACACAGGGTGCCCCCCACCCCTCTAAGGGTGGGTACCCATTTACCTACTTGCAATTAGGTTGCTTTCGAGACCGCTGGGTAGGCGGGAGCTGGGACGAAGGTCGAGAGCTCACCTCGACCGCGGTGGTACTCGAACAGCCATAGTGGCTGCTCAGGTGATGTTACAGTGCAGGCGTTTAACTGCCTGCGCCACCCCAATGATTCCAACTGTGGTTGTGTAATGGGGACATTGATTTTATATCCTGTCACAATCTGAATATTGTGACAATTTAAGGACACGGACACCACTATCTTACACACAGTTACAAATTTCTAGGCCCAATGACTTCAATAGACTTAGATAGGTAGAAATCTGCTTAGGATGGTCTTGTTAGATAGAAATAATATAACTAATCACATGGTGTGTTTCAGGAGGTTATGTATTTTTGCTGCTCTGATGTTGTGACATTTCAACACTTAAAACTCTCAGAAGTGTGAAAAAGAAAACGTGAACCATTTTAATCATGTTAATGGGAATGCTTGGAGTCTTCACTTCTGCCCGCCATAAAGGAAATGGAGTTGTATTGCACCAAAACTTTCTGGAGAGAACAATGTTGACCTCTGAGATATCCCAAACACCAGCAAAAATAGACCAACATCTGTTTTAGATTCTGTATTTAGGTTTAAGTGGGTGACAGTGAAAATCTGTAAGAACCCAGATGGTCACTGCCAATTCAATGCAATAATTTGTACGAATATGACAAATGCCAAAGCCCAGATGGTGGAGAAGATGTTTCACTCCCTCTCATTCCTTTGTATGTACTTCTAAAATTAGGAATCCTGGCTGGCTGGCTCTGGAACTGATTCCTCAGATTTTGAAATGGTATAAGAAGCCCTGAGATTTGAACATAAATATAGAAATGTATTGTGAAACGGCCTCTTAGGAAAGCTCAACAATCCTTTTCTCTTATGGAATTTGGCCAGAGTCATTTCCTGTGATGTGACTCATTTGAGTGCATCCTGGCTTTGAAACCAATGTTTTGTAGGTTGTTTTATCCACTGCATTTTTTGATACATGGTGCTCTCAAATGGGGGGAGGGGGGTAAAGAGTGTGTGTGAAGTTTTTATCTCCCACCTTGAGGAACTTAATTATAGTATTTTTAACAGGGACAGAATATGCAAAGGAGAAAATAAATACGAGTTACTTCAAAACCTGAGGCACAATGCAATGAAAAAAACAGGACAGGGAAAACGTTACCTGCCCCAGCCTGCTTTAACAGACTTCGTAGTCGGTCGATTTCTGTTTTCTGCTGTTTCAATAGCTTGTTTAACTTCTCAATCTGGTTTTTCTGGAAATCTGATGTAGCTGTTTCAGCATCAGCCTTTTCCATTTCATACTGAAACTATTAGAAAATAGTTTAGTCAAAACCCTATGGGCCTATTACAGTTAAAGGTAAAGAGACACTTAATATTGCATTATGAAAGCCACTGATTCAAGAATTCTGGCATGACATCTAAGCAGTCACTTAACAAGGCCAGTCAGATCTTGTTTTCTGAACCACAGCCCACCCTATATAGACTATATGTGTAAGGTGTAGTGTGTTAGACTCAAACTGGAGAGACTGGAGTACAAACCCCTGCTCAACCACCATGCTCACTGGATGACCATAGGCCAACCATTCTCTCTCAGCCTAAACAACCTCACACGATTGTTGTGAGGATAAAATGGAGGACAGGAGAATCATGCTGCTCAGAGGATAGGAGGGATAAAAATGTAACCGTCTGAATGTTCACTAGTAATCATTGACCCAAACTGTTCATTCCTCTGTGCCTGAACACACTCTTTGTCCTGGGAAAGTAATCTCTGACCAGGTCTTATATTCCAAAACGTCAGTGGGAACAGGTCCCCCTCATTGCTCCTCATGTTCAAGTCTATACTTCACTCTTGTCCCTTGGCTCAGTGTTGCTTAGCAAGATGTAGGGCAAGAAGAGTGTTTCCAAACCTGCTCTTCCTTGTCTTTCAAAAGTTTCTGCAACAATTCTATTTCTTCTTCTGCTCTGGCAAGGTCCTTCAAGGCCTGAAGGGCCTCCATGGAGGATTTCTCTGCTTCCTGAAGCTCCTAAGATTTAAAACAAAAAGGAACTGTGAACTTATCTTAGGGTAATGTCACATTGACATTTAGTGTGGGCTTCGCTGCTGATCCCTCGCGCATTAAAGTTTCCTGTTCATATTGGCAAACCCGCCTCCCGCACCGAAGCGGGCTGAGTCCTGCGGTTTCTGCTCTTTTTATCCGCGTTTTCTGACACCCGCTGGAACAGGTGTTTTTCCGATATCTCGCGCTTTGTATCCGCGGTTTTGGTATCTGGACAGCAATCCGCCATGACCGTGCTACCCTCCTCCCCTTTTGTGTTTCCGGTTTAAGTTATGCGCATGTGCAAACAGGCGCTAGCTTTTATTTTGGTCTTTTTAGTTTGTATGTACGCCCAAGCGCATGCACAGGTTTTTTTATTATTATTAAACCCTGCGCTGCCGCGGGGACGGCGCACTGTGTGATCAGTACTTCGCACGAGTGAAGCAGAAGACAGAGGGACGTCTGACCACCTCCAAGCAATATAAAACTAGCGCGGCAAGAGGTCCGTGTGACCGCGGCCTTACACACACACACAGCCACTTATATTTTGCACTGGTTAAAAACAGAAAGCTTTGCAGGACTGCTGCTTTATTTTCTCATTTGAAGTAAGTGTGTGCTGTTATTTTGTATTTGTATGCTTGTAGCCTGATTTATTGTCATTGCCAGGGTAACATACTGGTGCTGGTAGAGGACAGTTTTCTGCTGAGTCTCACAGCCACAATGCTAATTTATCCTTTGAATAAGCAACCAGAGGGTACCCAGGATATGGCTGGTACAGCTCACAGCCATCATCTTTGAGCACCAATGTGAACAGCTAGCAGTTTCTGGCCAGAGGGGTGGTGTATTTCTTCTCCCATAATTTCCCTTTCACTTTTGTTCTTGTGACAAGTTTTTCTAAGCTCTTATACAGTCAAATGCAGTATCCACCCCATTATTAATTAAAATCAAGTTGTTTTTACACTGCAATCCAGTACTGAACTTCATGCTTAAATTATAAAAGACGTTATTATGAAGAGATTCACATCAAGAGAAATAATTTACAGAAAGTATCCAGATTTACAATTCAGCACCAGCATACCTCAGAGCGTTCCTGGTTAATCTTGCGAACAGTCCCATGAAGTGACTGGAGCTGATCTTTGGCTGCACAGAGCTCTGCTGTTGCCTGTTTATCTGAAGCAGATATTGCTTGTTTCAACTCCTCCAGTTCTTTATTGATGCCAAGCAGCTGCCTTTGTGACCTGGCATCGTCTGCAATTTTCTGAAAGAAGCAAAGTATTGTTCAATACACCTGACAAACTTTGAGACCAAATTGCATGAAAGTAAGCCTCCATGCACACAAGTCATCAGTCCCTGAGAACGGCTAACAGTGCCTGTTTCAAAAACTTGCAGTGTCAGGCAAGTCAGGGGTGTAGAACAGGCCCTATTACTACCCGCCGCCCCCCCCCCCCAGCCATGGAACTGCCTCCTGAGGGTAACTAGGCCCTTTCCTTTCTGGTTGTTGACGCTCTGTTAAAATCTGCCTGTTCGGGAGGGCTTTTGGAACAGCTTTTTGAGGTTTCTTGTGCTGAAGCTCTGTTATTCTTGTTTTTCGACTGACTGGTTATTATCTACATGGCTGGTTTGGGGGTTTCCTTTATTGTTTTCACTGATGTGTTTTTCATTTTTACATACTGATTGCTACATATTATAACAGTTTTGGGTTTGGATCCCATGTCTTCTTCCATTAAGACTTTCTGCAGTAGTGAAAGAGTTCCTCAACACGTGAAGTCCTCTGAAGAAAATCTTTCTCCATTAGATTAAGACTTGCCAGAATCTTTCTCCATTAGATTAAGACTTGCTACATATTATAACAGTTTTGGGTTTGGATCCCATGTCTTCTTCCATTAAGACTTTCTGCAGTAGTGAAAGAGTTCCTCAACACGTGAAGTCCTCTGAAGAAAATCTTTCTCCATTAGATTAAGACTTACCTTTTGTCAGCCACTCTGAGTATTTAATAAAGAGGAAAGGCAGGGAATAAATACTGTAAATACAATTATTATAAGAGAGATGTAATCAGTGTCAGGAATTTTCTGGTCTCTCTCTTCTGGCATGTGTTCACATTAAATATATTCAAAACAATTAAGGAACTTCTGTAAGGCTTATTCGGAAGGGCATGTCATATATTTTTACTATTTGTATAGGTTTTAATAGATGCTTCCTACCCTGTTCTCCAAGTCTTCCAGCTGAGCAAGAACTCTCTCTGTCTCTTCCTCAGCATCCTGAAGCTGTTGATCTGTGAGGGACTGGATTTCCTCCATGCTCTTCAGCTTTTCAGTTAGTTGCTGGATTTCATTCTCTAGCTGCTGAACTCTGTTTTCATTCTGTCTCTTCTCAGATTTAATCTGGAGTTGAAATGCAAGAAACAAAGGAAAGATGACATGCTCTTTTCCCACTACCTTGCTGATGCTTGCCACATTAGCACCATGGGGTAATTTGTCCAAAGACCTAGTCTCTTCTGCCTCCGGTTACAAACAATTAAAAGGATCCTGTTCCAGGACAGCATTTAGAAGATACACCACATAAAGACAGAACAAAATTAGGTGCGACACTTTGGAGCTTATTCTTTTAATTTGTGCAGAGCCATGAGTGTTCATAGCACTTCAGTTCCATAAGCAATAAGGACAAGGTCCCTGCCCCCAAGGAGTTCACCATCATCCTACCCATACACTGAGCTCTTTTGTAGAAATCCTGCTCTGTGTTTCCATCGTCAGAGTTGTGTTAGACGAATACACGGGGCAGGACATTCTAAGCAGCAACCTCAAGACCATGGAGCTGTCTGTCCAGGAAGGTATATGCAAGTCCATCTCTACCAGTGGTCAGCTGTCTGATTAGGATGATCGCTTCTACTGGGCACTTGGTGCTAAAATTAATTTTAGTTTTCTTGTTTTACTGGATGCATTTGTTTTTCTATTCTAATGGATCTTGAGAGCTGCTTTGCTTTATTGTTAATCTGATTACTGATTGTCCTTATTTTATTGTTTAAAATTTGTATTTATGTTTTACATTTGTTTGCCACTTTGTGGGCTAATAGGTCAAAATGCAGATAAATAAAATAAATAACCCATGTCCAGCGGAAAAGAAAGGATGAGTGTGAGAAATGCAGTTACATGTCTTTACGACTTGGTGAAAACTGGGTTTTAAGGCTAGAGTTTAAGGGCTAAACCAAAGGATGCATGGAAAAAGAGTGTGTTTTGGGGAAGGATTTGAAGAATGAAAGAGACAACGCTATATACATATCCAAGAAGGACTACCTTGAGATTAATGATTATTCACAGTTTCTGCTAACATAGCTGCTACAAAGCTTTTTTAACCTTATTGCAATATCTCTTGCTTATACCATGATATCAGGATGTAAAGAAAAAAAAATATCCATCTTTTTCAGTCCAACTGGTAATTCCAACAAATACAGTATCCAACTCTATAATTAACCTCTGAACCTTTCAGGCATTTCATGCTGAACAGGCTTCTTATTTCAGACTGCAGAACTGCAGCCCGCATGACTGCTCTAGTTTTTTTAGCATTCAGCTATCCAAGAGGACCACAGCATGGTGGTCATACCAAACTTACTCATGTAAATATAACCAAACATTTATGCAAAATAACCCTCTGACCCTGTCAAAACACTCCCCAGAGCTATACTGAAAATGAAAAGTGACCTTTCGTCACTCCTTTGTGTAATCTGTAATCCTCTTACTTTGGCTTCTGCAGCTTTGTTGCAGGCCAGCCTGTATTTCTCCTGTGCCTCTTCCAGCCTAGCTTGCTGAGAAGCCATCTCCTTCCGCAGCTCCCTTTCTCTGGCCTGTGCGGCCTTATTTTCTTGCTGTGAATGAGCAAGGATCTCAGCAAATTGTGTCTGCAGATCTGCAAGGCTTTTTCCTAAAATATCCTTTGAGTTATGGCACCTAAAATAATCAGTCATAAGAAAAAGAACAGGAAGAGAAAGGGGGGGGGTTAAGAAGAACTGTTGATTAAGCTTATTATCAATACCTTAAGGCCTGTGTCAAGGAAAAAAACTAGACATTTTGTGGAAGAACATCCTAAAAGGGAGAGGATGCAGGGTGGAAGATGCAGCAAGTAGGTGAAAAATACTTCACACTTCTCTGCCCGCTGCTTCTGTTTACACTCCCCTTCCTCAGCTGTTTTTCTCCCTGCCACAGCAAAGATGCATTGGGGAACACCTGCTGAAGGAGGGGAGTTCAGGGGAGAAGCAGTGGGTGGCAGAAGAATCTATACTTTTAACATATTTGACTGAGACTCGGACTATCAGATCAAGGTCTTTAATGAACATCTAATTTGACTGCTAGACTGTCTTAAGAAAGAAGATATTTTCAATTATACAAAAAGAGAGGTATCTACAGACCACACAAAGTATAAGCTGTAAATACCTGAAAGGGAGATGCTTGCTTCAAAACACAGGGAGTTTCAATTGGCTGAAACGCCTGAATATATGAGTTTACTATGTTTGCAGTCAAGACTGTCTTCTGTATGACCACATGAAACAGCTTTATACCGAGCCCAGAACTGCCTGGCAATATTGCAGAGTTCAATACATGGTAGACTGGTAGCTGATATAAGGTACTGTGCCAATTTCTGTACTGATCTCTCCAGAAATTACACGTGGTACAGATCAAGAAAACACAACCCCAAGGGTCTGCTACATAACACAATGTCACACTTTGTCCCTTACTTTTTCTTTTGCATTATTACTTCCCACTTACTAATGACTTGTGCAACCAACAGTGCACACAACGCTGCTTCTGGAAGCAACCCGATATCTCTGTCAAGGTAACTTCTAAATAAATATATTATTTTTATTTATTTTAGTGACCTTGAGAGAGAAGGCTAGATGATGAAGAGGATCTTATTAATAAATTAACTTCTGAAATCACCTTTCAATATTTTGCAAAGCCAGGAAATTCATCTGCTCAGGAAATTTAAACACAGGAATCTATTCTCACTGCTGCATAAACTCGCAACCTGAGAGTTGTCCTGCCAATATATATTTGGCAGCTGCCCCACAGGAAAACACCTCTTGCCCTCTGCATTAAGGATGACAAAGCCAGTTTGTCAGACAGAGACTAGCTTCAGGTAAGGGAACATGGAAACCAACTGGTAAATGAGAGTGCCTGAGAAGATGAAAAATCAAAAGTAACACAGACTCACTTTTAGGGCAAACAAGGGCAATGTGTTTATACAGCACTCCCCCCACCCACCCCAAGTTCCAAAAGACTTCACATGCATTATCACTTGAATGACTTTTTGAGAATTCAAAGCCCTTTGCATGTATTCTCTGAATCACCTTTAGTACAACCCTGTACGGCCAGTATCATCACTGTGATACTGCTGATGAGGCAAGATGTGAACCAAGGTATTCTTTGCTTGCCGTAATCTGGATGGCCCAGGCTAGCCTGATCTTGGCTGTTAAGCAGAGTAGGTCCTGGTTAGCACTTGGATGGGAGACCACCAAGGAAGTCCTGGGTTGCTACACAGAGACAGGGAATGGCAAACACCTCTGTCTCCTGCCTTGAAACCCCATGGGGTTGCCGAAAGTCAGCTGTGACTGGACAGCACTTTACACATAACACACATTCTGGCTTCTAGTTTACATTAGCCAGTGTCGCTACACACCACACCATTATCTCAGTAAGAACAGGAATGCTGCTTTTGGGTGAAGATGGTGCCCCTTCAATAGGATTTTGCTCACCTGATTTCTGCTCCAGTCTGCAGCTTCCTTTTCAGTTCACTCACACGAGCAGAGACCTCTTCAGGATGAATTAAGTTGTTAACAGCATGATTCAGTTGATTTTGAGTATCTTTAACTTGTTGTTTCAAAAAATTATTGTCTTTCTGCAATGAACAGGTGTGAGAGCTGTTTCTAGTGTCACATATTTCCAAAGAACTACAAGGGTTTTTCCCCTTCTTGCCATGATTGTATAAAACCATATTCAAATTTGGTTACTGTACCCTCTCCAGAATAGTTTTCTGGTGAAGCTACAAGCACAGTTGCTACAAGGAACTATCAATACAAGGAACTATCAATATAAGAAATATCATTTCTTTTGATCATTCTGGCTCAACGAGCTCAGATGCGGCCCCCATTAATTTTTAATACTTAGATTTGTACAAGACAAAACAGGCAGCATAGAAGCATGACGGACCTTCACTGAAGCAAATGGCTGGAGCGCTTTAGAGAGTTATATCAAAGCATCACACATGCTAATTCAGAAACAAACAAAAAATGAAAAAAAAATACTCCACCTGCAGCTGTTTGAGCTGGGAAAGCAGATTGTTATTTTCCTGTTCTTTCTCTTCCAACAACTGAGCTTTGGCATGGGCATTTTCCAAGGCTTGTCTTTCTTTGCTAAGTTCATCTTGGAGAGCAGAGTGTTCCAGCTTCCCCCCAAAAGAAAAACATTCCCATTTTTAAAAAGTGACAAGAGCAGTTCTCCTTTCTTCTACAGAAGACTTAGTTTGGGAACAACTGGATAGCACACTGATGTGCAAGAAATGTTCCTTCTTTTGAGGAAAACACAAACAGTATTTGATGAATGCACTTCAAGTGACTTCTACCACTCCTGTCCTTTCTTGTGTATCCACCCTGAGTCTCCCAATCACAAATTTGGGGATTTATGCAGCATGTTGTGTATTCCCTAATTGCTTTGCTGGCTCAGTGGCACTGGAGGTCAGTGGGTCCTGCCGTTACATATCTCTATTGCATCACTGCTTTAATACTACCTAAATTAACTTCTCTTCCAAACTGGAACAACAGTGAAGAGCTCTTTCTCCTTGAACTAAAGAAGTTCATTCTTACAAAGGCTAAAAATCTCTTCAATTTTTGGTCATCTATAGTAGTCAAAATAGGCCTGATTAGAAATCACAGTGCTATTGTTTATCTAATTTCTTATCTAGTTAATGTATACTTCGCTTTTCTTCCCAACAGGGACCTAAAGCGGCTTACAACATTGTTCTCCCATCTTCGATTTTATCCTGACAACGTCAATGCTATGAGGTTAAGTTAGGCTAAGAGAGTGTGACTGGCCCAGGGTCACACAGCAAGTTCCATGACAAAAGTGGAGATTTGAACCTGGTTCTCCCTAGATCCTGTTCCAATGTACTAACTACTACACCACATTGGCACATAATACATACAACATACATACATGCTTATGTAATTACTATTGCTGCATGTTTCTTATGAAAAATTCTCCAACTGAATGAATTTCAGTTGTGAATATATAGACAAACTCCACAGAAACTGATCTGGAAGACTGCCAGCTTTCAAGCAACACTGTGCTTATATTCTTTTATGGGCAAGCCTGTACCACACCTTGTGATCCATTAAGCTGAATTCATCCCATTAAGCAAGTTTTGAAATTTACTTGAGTCTGAAAAAATCAAAAGGTATAAGGAAAAGAGCCTTCTTTCTCCATCACCTTTTTTTACACACCTGACTAAGCCGTTTTAGTCTCTCCAGTTCTTCCTTGTGTTGACTGGCTTCAGCATCACGGGCCTTCAGCTCTGCCTCCAGTTCAGCCTCGTAGGCACTCAATTCACCTTGGGCTTCCTGCAGGGATTCATTTTGTTCTTGTTGGTCGTGGAGTGCATGTTCAAGTTCTGCAATTTCCTGAAATCAGACATGCATTTTGCTATTTCAAGTTCAAATAGGAGACATTTGACCCTCCATTTGACAGGCAGTAGTCTGTGACTAGTGGACAGGGCCTGTGATCCAAAGATCTGGCAATTAGCTTCTCTTTTCCTACTTGATAATACTTACCTGCTGCTACTACAGAAGATGGACACCATCACTAACCCAACATGAATGCAGTCTAGATTTATAAGACCACAATAGCAACCCAGTGTCTCCTGCAGCCAATGTGCAAAGCAGCAGCAATGACACAGGCAGGTGGCAAGTAGCAAAAGCAGTAGTTAGCTGCTTTCCCCCCAAGATGAGATTTAGAGGCATGTCTGCTGGTCAAATGAGGAAAAATGGCTACAGAGAATAATATGACAGGCAAAGCAAAAGGGTAAGTTCTGCTCACTACTTCTCCCTTACAAATGAACCTCCCCCTTGCCTCAAATGTTAGCAGCAAACTCAGGACTGAGTTTGGGCTGCAATCCAAAGACAAAGTTACACAGATAATGACTTAAATCTAAACCTGGCCTTTAAGTGCATGGCCCTATCCAAAGTTTGAACTGAAATTCTTAAGAGAAAGCTGCCTTCAGAATGCTCTGGCATTTGGAAATACAGCTGTTCTTAAATCTTACTTTTCTGAGGTTTTCTGCATCCATGGCAACTATTTCCAGCTGGCTTTTCTCACCCTCCAGCTCCTCCAGCCTTTGCAGCAATACTTCTTTATCCTTCCGCAATGATCTGCATTCATCACTGGCCTGTTTGGCTTGACCCTTGACACTCTCTAGGTATTCCTGCAGCCCAATGATAATTCCTTCCAAGTCTCTCTTCAGTGCATCGTTTGCTGCAATTTGGCCTGCAAGCAACAAAAGAGAATAAATTTGGGGAGGGGGAAAATTTCAACTATTAAGTTGGTCAGGGGGGGACAAGCTACTTTGTGAGCTACTGGCATTAATTAAAAGTTGCGAATGAGTCATTTGGTTGCTGCATAAATTAGTTTGCTCTGGAGCCATCCTCCCTAAGCTAAGGCAAAAATCTGTAAACTGGAGGCTAAAAAACTGTGAGTTAGCTCACGCTAACTCAGTTTAGAGGGAACACTGCTTACAATCTCCATCTCTTCCTCTCCCCATAACCGACACCCTGTGAGGTAGGTGGGCCTGAAAGAGCTCTGAGAGAACTCTGACTGACCCAAGGTCACCCAGCTGGCTGCATGCAAAGGAGTGGGGAATCAAACTGGTTCTCCAGATTAGAGTCCACCACTCTTAACTACTAAAAAGGACAAGAGAGCTGTTTCATTATTTGAAGCAGAGATAACACCACTGAAGGTGATCTTAAAAACACTTCTATCTGGGGGAAAGAAGCCCTGGATGTCAAAATCTGACAAAGTATTTTTGCTGCATTAATAAGGAACATTTATATTGTGATTTTTTTGCATTATGCAAATTATGTAGCATAAACTCTGAAAACAAACGAACAACCCACATCTCCACTTCAGCATCTAGTTTTCTGCTGTCAGCAGCACAACAACATAGAAAAAAAGATGTCACTTAATTCAGTAATGGATAACTAAGAACTGGATTAGTCAAGTTTCACATCAGAACAGGAATTTGAACTGGGTATGCCCAGTATATCCATACTGACAAATGTTACATTTGTTTCATCAATTGTCATGCCATCCAAAGTCTCTGAAGATCTATTTTACCATCTGTGAGCTGTTGCTCCAGATCCCTGATTTCCTCTGTTTCTTTTGCAATCCGAGACAGCATGTCATCCAAGCGACCTTCAAGCTGTTTGTAATGCTTGTTCATCATGTCAAGTTGCTGTTCTTTGCTTACTTTCTGAGCCTTCATATGAGCCTGTAAGTTGCAGTTAAATGGTTATGTTTTTAAATAATCCAGAGTGCAATCCTAAAAACACTTTCCTGGGAGTAAGCCCCACTGAATAGACCTGAGAAGGATTCTGAATAGACCGCCTCAGGACTGGTATTTTTAAAAAATGAAACATACTTTTCCTTATATTACTGTTCCTGCAGCATTCCTGCCAGGAGTGTGCATTCAGATATATCCAAGCTCAAAATGACATGAAACTCCATCTAAACTCCAGGAGCAACAAAATTTTATCTTTCAGAATTCTGGGAATGTTTCAGGGAAGTACAGAGTGTGGGAAAGAGAGGAAGCCAGCCAAGCAGCAGCTGCTAGTCCCTTGGAAGAGATACTAACAGCTGATGGTCAGGTTAACCTAGTCTCCACTCGCAGCCCTTTACATTTCAAAAAGGAAAGGACTGAATTCATCCCGGACTTCGCATGCCAGCACTGTCTCTGTTGGAAGCGTCTCCTGGCTGCCAGCATCGGGGTAGCAGAGCCCACCTGCCCAGTCAGAAAACAGCAGGTCGAATCCTGGTAGCTGAATAGAATTGTATCAATACAGGCGTATGTGTAACCAGGTTCTCTGAATACGCAGCTTTCATTAAAAAAAAAAAAAGTCTAGCTCCTTCCATTGCAGAGATAAGCCTTTTCTTTTATATCTCTGCAAAGGAAGGAGCTAGACCTGTTTTTCTAAAAAATGGAAGCTGGGAATTCAGGGAACCTGGTACACATTCTGCTATACTATTCTATCGATAGAACACTATCCAATTGCCTATTTAAAATAAATAAATTCAAAAACCCAGCAGTGGGGGAGGAAACGGCTGCTGTAACAGCCAAGCCTCATGGGAGTGCAGGAGCCCACCAGCTTGCCTGCTGTTTTCGGGCTACGGGGCAGGCTCTGATGCTGGTGGCAGGGAAAAGCCTCCAGTGGGTACAATACTGGGATGGTAAGTCTAGGACTCAATTCCTGTCTTTCCCTCCCCACTCTTGCTACCTTGGGGGGGGGGGGGTGTTGACAAAACAGTGGTTTCAAATTTTCTGGACCCAAACAAATACCTGGAAAAAACATCCTGCACTGGTAAGAACATAAGAGAAGCTGTGTTGGATCAGGCCAGCCCATCCAGTTTAACACCCTGAGTCACACAGTGGCCAAAATCCTGGGTCATCAGAACGTCCAGCAGGGGGACAGAACTCCAGAAGCCCTCCCACTATGGCCACCCAAGCACCAAAAAGACAGACCATCACTGCCCCAGACATAGTGTTCCATCTATACCTTGCAGCTAACAGCCAGTGGTGAACCTCCGTTTCATGTTTATCCAATCCCCTCTTGACGCTGTCTATGCTTGTATCACCACCACTTCCTGCAGCAGTGAATTCCAAATGTTAATTACTCTTGGGGGAAGAAGATCTTTTCTAAGCCTACTGCTCATCAATTTCATTGAGTGCCCACGAGTTCTTGTATTGTGAGAAAAGGAGAAAATTACTTCTGTCTCTACCTTCTCTTTATGCACGTTATGATATTGGATTGTTTTAGATGGTTTTATGATTGTTTATAATTGTTATTTTTGTGTTTTAAATCTTTTATGTAAGCCACCCTGAGCCTGCTCTGGCGGGGAGGGCAGGGTATAAATTTGATTAAATAAATAAATAAATATATCCCATGCATAATTTTGTAAACCTCTATTATGTCACCCCTCAATCGTTTCTCCAAGCTAAAGAGCCCTAACCTCTTTAACTTTCCTTCATAGGGAAAGTGTTTCATCTCCTTAAATCATTTTAGTTGCCCATTTTTGCACATTTTCCAATGCTTTTTTGAGGTGCAGTGACCAGAACTGTAGACAGTATTCCAAATGAAGCTGCACCATCAGTTTATACAGGGGCATTATGATATTGGCTGATTTGTTTTCAAATCCCTTCCTAATAATCCCCAGCATCGCATTTGCCTTTTTTATTGCCGTCGCACACTGAGTTGACATTTTCAGTGAGTTATCTACCATGACTCCAATATCTCTCTCCTGGTCAGTTACCGCCAGTTCAGACCCTATCAACGTATATTTATAGTTGGGATTTTTGGCTTCAATGTGCATTACTTTACACTTGAACATGCTGAACCTCATTTGCCACGTTGACACCCACTTGTCCAGCCTTTACAGATCCTTCTGGAGTGCCTCACAGTCCTCCCTGGTTTTCACCACCCCGAACATCTTCGTGTCATCTGCAAACGTAGCCATTTCACTGCTTACTCCCAACTCCAAATCATTAATGAACACATTGAAAAGCACCAGACCTAGAATCAAGCCCTGTGGTACCCCACTGCTTACCACCTTCCACTGTGAAAACTGCCCGTTTATCCTCACTATCTGTTTCCTGTTAAATTACCAGTTTTTAATCCACAAGAGGACTCTTATCCCATAACTGCTGAGTTTACTTAGGAGCCTTTGATGAGGAACTTTGATGAGGTAACATTTCTGAAAAATCAGGATAATAGTGCCCTCCCTGAAATATCAGGATAAGAAAAACAGTGCACTACCCCCAAATCCAGATCTAACATTATTATGAAAAAAATGTATTTGTAATATGTGCATGTGTGTGTACCTGGAAGTCATGGTGACTTCTGGTGACTGACCCCTACTGGGGGACTGGAGAATATTCAGAGAGGTGGCTGAATAAAGCCTGTCCCCACCTCTGGTATTCCAAGGAGGTCTCTGCTTAGCTTCCAAGATCTGACAAGATCAGGTTTGCCTGGGCTATCCATGTCAGGGCCCTTATTATGAAACTTTCTGAAGTGCACATCACTGATTTCTGCTACAGGTTCTTTACAGTCTTCCTGACGTTAATCAATTATAAATGGACAGTTGTTTCAGCCAGGCTAGTTGTGTCCTTCAAACTCTATGAAATTGATACATATAGAAGTACTTAGAAGAACCTCTGCAGAAAGCTGGAAATGGTTTTTATGTTTGCCAAATCTTTTACAGTCATAAACATCCTTTTAGGCTTTTTTCACTGCTCTTTCTCTCCTGACAACAGTGTTTCCAACCAGTAAAAGTCAGTTGGCTTCATATACTGACAGCATCTTAATCCTGTAATAGCATCCCACTGTTTAATCACAAGCCTCCAACTGTAAATTTTAAAATGTTAATGTTCTAAAAAAATATAAACAAAATCACCACAAATCAGGTAAGTCAGGATTATATCTTGTACTTTTAGTCCCTTCTTTATATTTCTCTAGTGCAAGGCCCCACACTTAGCAGGGCAGTAGGATCTAACCCATTATCTATCTTTGTACGAGGGACACATATGCGCTCCCTGTCAGGTAAGTAGCTTCATGGTAACAGGAGAGTTCTATATATTCCTCGTTCCCTCAAAAATCAAATAAAGAGAAAAAACATGATATTTCCCCATAGCCTTTTCACATGCTTTCCAACTTCCTGTACTTGGCCAAAGGCAATGATGTTATGAGATAATACAATGCTGCTGCTGAAAAGAGCATTGCCATGCCAAATTCTCCACCTCCCCCCCCCATAAAATGAAGTAAAATTTATTCCAGCTGCTGTAGTTAATACTCTGTGTGCTTCCTTGCTGGCTGTACCCAACAATGTAGAACAAGGGTAGTAAAGGCCAATCACACTACATATTAGAAAGGGGCAGAAATCAACACTGGGACGGGAGTGTCATTCTCTGCAACATCTCCTTGTTTGTCATAACATATAATTCTACCCTAAACTCTGGGACCAGACTAACCTCACCATAAAAGAGAAATTATTAATCTAAAACTAGTTCTTCTACACTAAAATATAACCTAATCAGACTGACAGTTTAATGATTTCAGTTTCACACAAAAACAGTATTGCCCATTCTTTCTCCCTGCAAATCTTACCCTAAGAGCAGAAGATTTCGAACTGTAATATCCAGTGTCAACTAAATATAGCTGGGCGCAGCATCTCCTAATAAGTGGGGTATTCAAGCTGGCAGCATAGCTGAATCAAACCAACACACTTCCAAATGGCATGTTCTGTTATCAGTGTTCAACTTGAACTGAAAGTATCCCCCTGACTTTCAGAAACACGGGGTTGCGGTCGGACTCATTTTCCAATGGCAGAATGGAACTTTTCTGCCTCCCCCCTCCCACTGTAGCCCATTGATCTCCACAAAATGCTGCTCCTGGGGGGATAGAAGAACCTGAGGAATGATATGAGGGTGATCTGCAGTCAGAAGGGAGATTCAGTGGAAATTGCCAATTTAGTGGATACAACCCATGAGGTAGTGGATACAACCCATAGGGTAGACAACCTCCAGACAGGGTGTCCGACATCCAGGATTTGACTGTTTCTGTACCCATACCAAGACAGCACTCATTAGTAAAACAAGGTGCAACATAAACCCATAAAAAAGATAACAGCAGTAAAGACAGTGGGGCATTCAACAGCTCTTACTGAAGACCTTTGAATAAATGCAATACTTTAAAACATGGGTAAGAGTTCTAGAGTGAAAAATAAAGACCCAAAAGAAAAATATCCAAACTGTAAAAATTGTCTTCACGACCAAACTCTCCTGCTTATCATTAATCAAGGCAATTCAAGATCACTTTAGCAAAATCATAAAGTGATCACATCTAATTTCTAAACCAAGGCGCTAGAGTAAAACTTTTAAAGCATTCACAGTAATGCAAAGCACTAGTTGTTCTACGTGAAGGAAGCCTGCAGCTCAACAGTGCTTTTCTCCACTGCAGCTGTTGAGGTCACAGAGGGTCTTTTGAGGGGGGAGGGAAAGACACTTACAGGCTGTTCTTTGTCTTTTCTTCTTTTCGGATCATGTGCTGAAAGCCCTAATCCTAATTTGGTATTCATTGTAAAAGAAAAGCAGTACTAAAAGTCGCTTAACCAGATCATAGTTCCCCACCCTAATCTGCTGCCTTGTCGTGAACATCAGCTTCTCTCTTTGACAGTTGCACTTTGGTTCGGATGTGGTTTGAAACAAGCGAAGTTGCAGAG